GGCTTTTGATATGTCTGATCGATCCACACAACCTGACCCCATAGACTTTATGTAGGAAGACACAAACTTTATCCTTCCCAAAAGAATACAGAATCTGCTTTTCTGTTCCCTTCCTGTAGAAATTGTCAAGAAATAGGAATTTTATGCTTCTTTCTTCTTAGTGGTAGGAAGGCTAAAGACATCAATACAGAGGCTTTGTTTCAGAACTCACAGACTTTGTGCCTGTAAAGAGTAGGTAGGCTCTCCTACGTCTTCTTTCCCCAAGAGTTATTTAACAAATTTCCTCCCCTCACTCCCTATGAGCTAGACAATTTGTATTTGATTGATGTATCTGTAATAGGCAATAAAAAAGTGTGTCCTAGTTTAAGCTAATTTACTTCAAATTGCACTCAACCTATACTGGTATGCTTACCAGCAGTGCTTCACTAACTGACACAGCTTTATTGGTCCTAGAAAACATATTTTAAATGTTCTCCTTCAGGGACAGGAATTAAAACTGAACAAAAAGAAAGAAAAAGATATTACATCATCTTCCATTTCCCTAAGACTATTAATTAAAAATGTTAAATGGTATAACATCATCTTTGACACAAAAACGTTGTATCCTATGGACACAGTCCTATTAAAATAAATAATCAAAGCAGTAAAGGTATGTGTTTTCATCCAGCACTACCAAGTATCCACCTAACTCATCATCTTTCCCTTCCCACACAATCCCCCAGTCAATGATCAGGAGACACACAAAAAAACCCTTGCCTTCTTATGTGGCTGTAGGGAAAAATTTTCTGTAGGGGACAAAAGTTATCTGTATACCTATCACGGAAACAGCAGGCTACTGAAGTAAGTGTTCCCTTCTTTTGTCCAGAAAAGAACACAAGTGTTCTTTTACAATATTTTTATTTAGGCAATAGCAATGACTCAACATCATGTAAGCATAACATGTATTGATTGCGCCGTGGGGCAACAAGCAGAACAAGGAGAGGACACCTAGTGGTGATGTATGATAATCAGGGTTGGTAGCATGGAAGCAGTAGATGAAGCTGTTAATGCAGAACATGATTTGGCAAAGCTCTTCTATACTTAATTTTTAAGAATTTCAGTAAGACTTAGCATTCAAGCAAGCCTGAAGCTTTTCTGGATAAGCATTACTGTGATTATTAAGAAAAAACAGTAAAAAGTAGAATAACACATGTCTATGTGATATGCTCAGAAATACATTTCATTAAGCACCAGAGTTTTAGCAACTACGTGAATGGATATCAACACATCCGTAGGTTCATGAACCTTGAAAAGGTTTAGCAAGTTGAAAAGCAGATTTCAGTACAAGTCAAACCAAAATAAGATATGGCTGCAACTTACGAGATGATTTCTTGAAAAACAAAAACTGCATTGTATGTTTTCTAATAAGGATTCGGGAACTTTAAAATGAGTTGGACATCTCAGAACAAGAAAGATCTAGTGTACAGTTTCAGAAGTACCACTCATACAACTGCTATGTCTTGTCCTGTGATTAGAATAGCTGTCAGCAAAACAGTGTCTGCTCTTTAAGCAGCTTTTGGAAAAACTTGTTATTTGAAAGAATAGGTAAATTTACACCATAGAGAAATGTACAGCAAAGTGGTGTATCATCTGACATATAACAATGCATTTATTCCTAATAGTTCATATCTTTTAATTGTTCAGTTATCTATGAGCATGTTTAACTAAAAATAACTTAATAGTTGCATGTAAACCTATGAAAAATGTTCCGGGGTCAACAGCCTAGGCAGTCTCACAAAATAATTTAAAATAAGTAAGAATTAGGTCCAGTACATCCTGTTCAGTATTTTTAGGAATCTATGCTTAAAATAAAATAAAATAAAATAAAATAAAATAAAATAAAAAAAACAAAACAAACCCACTGTCAGAAATTACTGCAAAAGCGTAATTTCTGCAATGAATTTTTTTATATTTTTTCTTGCATTTTTAGTGTGTAATATGGTTCAGCTAAGATATGATCTGTTTGTCAACATATTAATTACAAAGGATTGGAATATTAGATATTGCAGGAAAAAAAGCCGTTTTAAGAAAGTATGAATTTGAAAATTCGGTAAATTAATTCCTGTCAACATATCTCTCGTCCCTTTGTTAAAGTGATACCTCCCATTTCCACTGAGTCATTCATCTAGGTAACCTATTAACGTCAGACTGATATGAATATAGCAATCAGATTTCAGATATATTGTACCACAGGCTATAGTTCTGTTCCATCTTAAAGGCTAAGAAAAAAGCTTCTGCAATGCATACATTATCTACCCCAATATCACCCCATCTGGCTATCAGAAGCTTGATCTTGTTTTATTTAAGCAATGTGGAAACGAATAAAGAAAAAGAACCATGTTTCATATAAAAACATTTTAAATTCTTGTATACTTATCTGTAAGTTCAGGATACTGACCAACTGAACTCCAGGAATGTGATACTGAAAAACGAAAAGCTCAAAGCCTTTTTTGTTGGAGGATGTATAAATACCTCAGTGAGACAGCAGCTTTATTATACACCCTGGGTTGTTGATCAATCAGTTTTCCATGAAATATCCTCTTGGCAAGTTATGAGGAATGAGTTTGCCGGCTGTCCTCTCAATATTTTTGACATAATGTTCATTACTCTGTATCCAAATGCATAGTATTTCAGATTTATCTGCACCACATTTAAAACCAATGTGTCAGCCCACATGCAAAAACTATTAAATCCTTTTAACCACACACAAACAGGCTCCGTTTCTGTGTCACAAAAATTAATTAACAGTTGTTCCCTGTTGTGCATATGCAAACACACTCAATACAGAAAAGATTAATATCAGCAGCAAAGGTCTGACTGACTACACCGATGAAATCATCGAACTATTGTTTCCTAATTCAGCGAAGTTCATGCCTACCCATTTTCTTCAGTTTTTAAACATTTCAATGCTGTAATATACAATTTCTCCACAGTGGTAATAGATCACCACACAAATCAGTTTCACATGATCAGCTACTGTGATAACACAAGTCAAATGTGACAATCCATGACTGCATTAATTTTTGATATCTGTAAGATACTAAACAAATCAAAAAAGGATCACTTTTTTTCTTACACACATTTAATTTCAGGATATATAAGAACCTGATTCAGTCCCTTATTTATCACTGTTTGAAAGCAGGCAATGAGCTTCTCAGTGCTTTATTGCAGGCTCAACCCCCCTCATCTCCTCCCCCCGAAAACAAAACACAGAAAAACCCTTGAGATGCTATTTCACCTTCCTGAGGACAACTAGGGAGCACTATAATGTGCTACCAAAACAAAAAAGATGGACTCCCATTTTCTTTAAGTTTTTAAATACTTGTCAAATAAAATATCATACCAGAGATACTACACAAGTTTTACTAGTGGAATCAAAGGTGAAGTTGCAATCAAGCATCTATTAGCTAAAGATTAAACAAACCAAACACCAGCTATTGCTGGTTTGGACTATATTCTGTGGTCACTTCTAGTCCCACTTACTTGGCAATTCAACTGTTTTTGATTTAGAATATCTGATTTATCTTTTGACAACAGACAGGAGGGGGGGATGGGGGGAGGAGAGGTATTAATTTCCCTGCTTAGTAGGTCTTTATAGTGGCAAGCTATTAACTCAAGCTGCCAGAAAATAATGTCATTGAATGCATTTCAGAAGGTTGTCTCTCTAAATCACAGAGAAGACAAAAAACACAGCTTTATGGTACAACTGCAAAATATGCTTAATCATTTGCCTTGGTTAAATTGAGTACAAAAACTGCAGTGCTCTATTTCTGTGTCAAAAAAGAAAAAATAGTTACAGTGCATTACAAAGAGGCAAAAAGAAGAAGAATTTATAAAATACAGTAATAAAGATTAATAACCTCTTTTAGGATCTTCCTGAGAAACAAATATAAATTTATTAGATTTTTTGATACTCAGTGTCATGCCATCTTTAAATAGAATCTGACTTCATTTGGAGATGGCTTTACATTTAGGTTTCTATTAAACTACAAAGTAAATATAATACTGGGGATAAGCAGAAATGGTACCAAATCTTTCTTCAATATTCATTTAATTAAATAAATCTTTATCAAAGTAGGTAAATTTATATACAGATCTATTTTAATGATTTCAGTGAACATGCTTTGCAAAATAATTCTCAGTATACTTGCTGCAAGAAAGGTTTAGAAAACAGCAGCTATTTTTCCTATGTTTTTAGCACTTCCTGTTAAAACATAATATGATATTTAGAATTCCAGAAATGGGGACAGGCAAGAAATGAAATGACTGAATCATGACAGTATGTGCCAAAGCATTAAACACTTCCTAGCCATGAGCATGCCAAAACAGGGAATGCCATAATTTCCTGGAAATGCTACCGTGCCAAATTAGCAGGCAGCATAAGGTCACGTCTGGAAATAGTGGAGTTGACAGTTTAGAAGGCAATGACTCAGAATTTGAACTACCCATATTTTATAAAGAAGGTCAGTATTTGATATACTTAGCCTACATACAGATTTAAATAATGAGCATTCTAGGAAATCTACTCTATTATAAATGGTTTCAATTTCTCCTGAAACAGGAAAATATGAACACGTATTTTAGCTTCTCTGTGATTACAAGAGCATTAACTTAATAAGTTTAAGTGCTTGTCAACAAATCCAAATGCAGATTCAGGTTGTTGCTGAAATTGCTATTATTCTCCGAAGGAGCTCACCTATGCTTGTGCTTATAGTCCCAAACGTAATGTTTGTCTCTGTTGTTAGCAGAGAGAAGATGGTTACCTTATGCTTTTTCTTTCAAAAAGGCTTTTTTACTAGTACATTTATGTAATTATGCTAATTGGTGAGTAAAAACTCTTTATTCCATTTTGGATTTTGTGTAGCTCTTTGGAGAGACCTGACATCTTTTTTTTTTTTTTTTTTTTTTTTTTTGTAGGAAAAAGATCTGAGCAAATTATGTTATAACCTTATAAATCTTACCTCTTCCCACTGGTGTATGTATCTAATCAGTCTTGAAAGGCGTAATAAACGTAACAGGCTGAGGATTTTTGTAAATCTCACAATACGAAGTGCTCTCGCTGTCTTGTAAACCTCCGAATCCATTCCTTTTTCTACAATGAGAAAGATATAATCCACTGGTATTGATGAGATGAAATCAACCACAAACCAGCTTTTTAAGTAATTCATCTTAATGATTTTAGGGTCCAGTATTATTTCAGAGCTGTCTTCATTTACAGTCCCAGTTCTAAAATTCATGATCAAGTCCAATAGAAAAACAGTGTCTGATGCCACATTGAAAATAATCCATGGCGTTGTTGTTTGTTCTGTGAAGAATGTGATTCCAACTGGTATAATGACAAGGTTTCCAACCATCATTATGAGCATGATTAAATCCCAGTAAAACCTAAAAAAAAAAAATAAATAAATAAAAATAAAAAGGAAGAAACAGAATGATTGATGTAATATGGTAAAACACACTGAAAAAATGGTTTCTATGATGCCAGCAACTTCACCCCAAGATACTTAAACACAATCCCAGAATGTTTTAGGTTGGAAGAGATTGTAAAAATCATCTAGTTCCAGCCACCCTTCCATGGTTTGGTACATGCTTCATTAGACGTTTTGTTAATGCTAAGAAAATTCTCTTTGATTTAAGTCATTTGATACACCCACAGTCAGTAGGTGTTTTCCTTCTCAACATTATGTGTTTTCCTTCTCAAGAACATGCACCTAGGATAAAGTACTATGGCTTATAACTCCATGACATATCAAAGGTGTGCATGTGTGCCACTCAGTAGACCTATCCAGAATCCTAACAGAACTCATTAGTGGGTTTATGTAACTAAAACCGATGTCTAGTCCTAATCAGAAGTGCTTTAGCAATACAATATTTTTTTAAGGCTTCTATCCAAATGGAAACCCAAATATCTAACAGATAACATATTAAATTTAAGTACCTCTTTGTAAATGTAATCATACCATTACAGTGCCGGAATAAAATTACAGGAGGAGAAAAAAAGCACTGAAGCAAAAAATAGAAACAAAAATTAGATAACAACAAAACCTTCATCCAGTTTTACAACCTGAACTGAACTTTCATGGACTTTTACAACCTCATAATCTGTCTTCTTGCAGAGCTAGCTAGTCTGGGCAATAACAGCTGTGAACTTGCACAGTATAAAATGGCTACTGCATTTCACCATTTTGCTCCAGAAGTATCAAAAGGCTCTGCTCTAACACTCTTAAAATGCCACTAATGGTGCTTGATACAGATGGCAAAAAGCCAGACTCATAACTTCAGTATCTATTATGAAAACAGTGAGTAAACCTACCTGTTACATGGAATATATATCTATCCTGATGGAAGATTTCCAAGCAATGGTAGTATATGCCAAGCAGATTTTAAGAAAATTATGGTAACTCCTAAATGTTAAATTGTCAAAGAAAATCATGCTTGTTCAATAAAAGAACTGCGAATGAATTTGAGAAAGCCTGAATCCAGTGTACAACTTCTTGTTCTGCTTCAGAATATGATCTGTTTCAACTAAACTTGGTTTGGAGAGGCATAGAAACCAGTCAACAGACCCTCATGGACTCATTAGACCTTCTGCTTCTGGAAGACTGGAGTCAGCGATGGCTCCACAACTATCTTCCTGCTCCAGAGGAGCCATACAGGGCCCCACGCAGTAGACATGGGATGGACATGTCACCAGCACACCACTCCCGCACTGACTTCCAGGCGACTTACGCCATACCAGCATCAGCCTCTTGCATACAGCAAACATCTTGGTAAAGGCTCTTGACAATTAACAAAAATAATAGTTTAACTGGCCACAAAATGTTTCAGAACCACAAGTTTAGTTTTTGCTAGACTTGTGTCAAGTATATGGATTGCATCAAATGCTAAGGATTGCTTGTACTCACCAATGATCCAGGTTTATAAATTCCCTTTATTTCACGTTTATCCATGAAAATATGTCTGAGTTTACAAACTGCTTATCTAAGAACACAATAATTAACTGTAACTGTAAAATACACTAAAGGAAGAGCAATTTAGGATTGAGAGTGGCAAAAGAATTCCCAGTTTAAAAATCCTTTATTCCAAGATAAACCTATAGAGATTAGGCTTGCTTATCACCTGAGAGTGGAGATGGCAAAGTACCTTTAACTGGTACTTAAGGAGTTGCATGGAATAGGCTTTACAAGTAACTGCCTGTGTACCGCAATGTGATTTATGTCTTACACATTTCCAATCTTACAATAACTGTGAATACTAAGTGCTATAAATATCCCATTTTTTTCCAGACTGTATGAATTTTTGCTTAGCATGTATGACATTCACAGTAACTGTACTGTGTTTGGAAAAAAAACTTTCACATTTCTCTTATCTTTCTTAATTCATGTAATAGGCTTCTTCCTGAGCTACATTCCTTTTCAGTGATCTAGGAATTACCATAGAGAAAGAATCTCTAAATTCATATATCACTGCTACTATGATCTACAGGCATGACTACCACAAACACTTTTACAACATTATCGAACAAAACTGTTCTGAGAGAATAAATGTCTCCAAAGAATCCTGAAAATGAGTGGAAAACAACTGAGAAACAATCATAAGAGGTGTACTTGTATCTGTGCCTCAGGAAGCAAAGCATCGCTTGATTTCAGATTGACCTTTATGTTTCACCAGCACAGGGGGCAGTTACGCAACGAAGGCTAACCAAAGCTGCACAACAGCCAGCCACCCAGCCAACATAAAACATAATACAGAACCAGGTGTTTTTATCCTAAAGTAATCCGCAGTTTAAAGGATCATTATGTACTGTGATTATGCAAAACACACTGGAGTTCCTGATGTTGAATGTCAGCAAAAGTGGTAGCATTAGGGCTTCAGTAATAAAGAAAGATTGCATGTGAAGGACTGTGAGATTGCACCAGTTGTCTATTTTGATTTTAGTCCACAATACAGTATAAGCTGATTAGTTAGTAAGAAAAACCTTATTATATTATGATTTATTTTTCATTTGGAAATGAATCAGACGTTTTCTTTTAGGAAACGGCTTCCAAAAGCCATTCTGTTGGCTATGCGATATGGTATTTTCCTTTCCGGTGAGAAAAACTAGATGCAATTCCCTGTATTGCCTTCTGTGACCTGTGCAGAGAAAGTAATACAAAGCATTCCTTGCTTACTGGTTCGGAACATCCTACTATGCATGAAACCAAGAGCAAGCTGAAAAGCTTCACAGGATGGTTCAGGGAGCTGCCTTTGAGACACAGAAGCTGCTCTTTGTTGAAAACAGGTTTTAGCATTAGTTATTTTTACTATTTCACATACAAACCCCGTCCAGTGAGTATGGTTTAAAATTTAAAACTTCCAGTCTCAGAGTTACCAGTTTATATAAGGTGGTGTAGAATGCTGACAAAAAGCAAGGAAGAAATAGGCCTATGACATGAAATTTTCAAGAATTGGGGGGGGGGGGGGGGGCAGGGAAAGGAGCCTGGGGAGATTCAGAGCTCCTAACAAGAAGCAAGAACTGATTTTAGCCCCATAGCAAACAGCTATGGAGCTTACTACTCCTCTGAAGCTAACTCTGTACAGCTACTACTAGTTGATACTGACTGAAGATACAGAGGTCAGCAACACACCAAACTATTGCTGAAACCTTTTAAATGCTTCTGGATGACTCAGAAGCTTACTACCTCTAGATAAAAAACTCTTAAATTGTTTGACTCAGAAGCTTACTATCTCTAGGTAAAAAAGTCTTCAAGCATTACAAAAAAAAATGGCTTGAGGCATATTTTTTCTATATAAAGAGTAATTTAGAATAAATACAAAATAATTTTTCAAAAATTAAAAAAAAAGCATGCTACTTAATTACTTTGGTACTCCTAAATAGAACTGGCTGGATTCATAGCCCTCTTTCAGTGATCATTCTACTCATAATTTTTCTGCTATACTTTCAAAACTTATGGTACAACATGACACATTTTACAGCCCTGGAACATGGTGCTGAAGCTTTGGGGCTTTATTTATTGCCACAAGCTATCCTGGATAGGATGAAGGGTCTGTTCAAAATGAGTGCCTATTCAAGCAGCGATAAAGAACTACTTAGTATTAATTAATCAACCTTTATACTAAGCTTAATAATGTAAGGCTCTATGAATTCTAATGGCATTTTATTTTCCACTTTATATATCCAACCCAGAGCAAATGGAGCCTTAAAGAAGGAAATTTCAGCTCTAGATTAGAATCATAGAATCATGGAATAGTTAGGGTTGGAAAGCACCTTAAGATCATCTAGTTCCAACCCCCCTACCATGGGCAGGGACACCTCACACTAAACCGTGGCACCCAAGGCTCTGTCCAACCTGGCCTTAAACACTGCCAGGGACGGAGCATTCACAACTCCATTGAGCAACCCATTCCAGTGCCTCGCCACCCTCACTATAAAGAGCTTCTTTTTTATATCCAATCTAAACTTCCCATGTTTAAGTTTTAACCCATTACTATCACTACAGTCCCTAATGAAGAGTCCCTCCCCAGCATCCTTACAAGCCCCCTTCAGATACTGGAAGGCTGCTCTGAGGTCTCCATGCAGCCTTCTCTTCTCCAGGCTGAACAGCCCCAGCTTTATCAGATTAGTTATTTGCTACATAATTTGCCACATATGCAACTGGGTAAAAAGTAGTTCAGATTTGCTTTCTTTAATGTTTCCTGGTTGCAGCCTATTGACACAGCACAGCAGTCTCAATGTCCTTGTGTCAGCGTAGTCTGATGTACAACTATCCTTATGGTGCACCCATACTGACCAAGCAGAAGTTATCAGTGTTCTCACTAGCAACCTAGCAGAGTGAACAGCACCTAAATGGCACTAAGCACTGTGATCTGAGGCTACAGAACAGTCAGGGCTTTGCTGAAGGTTAAGTTTTCCAGGTTTCCAGAAAGATCATTAAAGTCTTGATTATGTAATAAAAAAGAGCAGAACATATAAGTAAAATCTAATGAAATACAGTCACGAATACTCATGAGCCACATAATAAATCAGATGGTCTTTGAAAAAGATATTAATTCAAATTGTAAATTATCTTTTAAACCAAACCTGATGTATCTGAAACATGATTTCACTTTACACATTCAGAGAATCAAGAACTGTAAAAAATGTTCACAAGCTTCCCATGGAAAACCTGCCTCCTCTTTAGTTACATATTTTGATTGACTAGCAGATGCTCAGTGAAATGACTTTTTCTATCTCACCTTCAAACACAGCTTTATTTCTTTTGTTTCACACATCACCAGTTTACCTAACAGAGAAATCAATGTCCTATATAGAACAAAACAATCTTAGCAGAAATAACAGTAATTTAAAACTTTACTAAAATGCACTGTAACAAGCACTGAACTTG